TTATTTAACAACTCTTTTTATTGGGTTCTTTTATTTGGGGTTAAATACATTGTCAGAATAAGTGAGACATGGATTTAACTTCTGTTAGACAGCTATCATACTGAATAAATATTTACTGTGAATGTATGCAAACATGTATGGCATATAGCTGTCTAACAGAAGTTAAATCCATTTCTCACTTATTCTGACAATGTACTTAACCCCAAATAAAAGAACCCAATAAAAAGAGTTGTTAAATAATAGTGAAGTCACGTTGTAATAATAACTCATCTCTCTCGGTTCTTTTTCTTCCTTGCCAAAAGCCACTGTGTCAAGTGTCCTAGTAGAGTTGCCGTATGTAGTTGTCCAATATGGCGGACCATCTCGCACATGCGCAGTACAGATCTGGCAGGGGGACAGATCGGGAAGTGACAGACGCAAGGGGTGTCTCTCAATCGCGAGTACGCTTGCTTGGTAGCACATGTCTGCCGAGCATCTTGCTTCAGAAGCGAGGCAAGAATACTTCCTGCCATTCGGAAAACAAAGAGTGGAACAGGCTAGCAAGTGTGCAGGTGTGCGTCATATGAGAGGCCCCGCCTTACATCTTCCGCCACAGATTTGGGGAAATTGGTCTGTGCGCAAAGCATTGTGGGGATTTTAAGACCGCGGAGTCTACTCATGTGCAGCCTCGATATTTCTCCAAACGGAGTACGCCGGGCTCGGTAGATTTCCAAGTATGCTGGAGATTGGAACAGTACTTCGGCGGCACTCGATGACGTAGTATGCTTGAAATAGTGGCTCTGCAGCAGCTTTACTCGCGATTGAGAAACACCCACGGGCTGCGTTTCACTGCGCCATCTTGAGTAGCGTCCCAATGGTATGGAGCTAATTTCCTGCCATAACTCCACAAACAAACTAAACAGGTTTTACAAATGCCTCATGATTCACTAACAAACACAATGTGGTTTGCAAATACAAAACACCATCTACACACTAATGCATTTAGTTTTGCAAAGAAAAAACGTATTTACCAAATAAACATACCATTTTTCTAATAAATCATGTTTCAGAGACAAATTCAGCATAGGTTTTACAAGTACACACATTTTTTTTACAACTACAACACTTCTTTTTACAAGTACAAAACTTGTTTTTACAACTACAACACTTTTTTTTACAAGTACAAAACTTTTTCTTCTCACGGCGGAATATTACTGCCAAAAGTCACGTGAGTGAGTCACGTGACTTTTGGCAGTAATATTCCGCCGTGGTTGTGCTTGTCACTACCCGATCGGTCCACCTGCCCGATCTGTCCGCCATATTGGACAACTACATACGGCAACTCTAATAGGACACTTGACACAGTGGCTTTTGGCAAAGCAGAAAAATAACTGATAGAGATTAGTTATTGTTATTACAATGTGACTTCACTATTATTTAACAACTCTTTTTATTGGGTTCTTTTATTTGGGGTTAAGTACATTGTCAGAATAAGTGAGACATGGATTTAACTTCTGTTAGACAGCTATATGCCATACATTTTTGCATACATTCAGGGTAAATATTTATTCAGTATGATAGCTGTCTAACAGAAGTTAAATCAATTTCTCACTTATTCTGACAATGTACTTAACCCCAAATAAAAGAACCCAATAAAAAGAGTTGTTAAATAATAGTGAAGTCACGTTGTAATAACAATAATCTCTCTCGGTTCTTTTTCTGCTTTGCCAAAAGCCACTGTGTCAAGTGTCCTAGTAGAGTTGCCGTATGTAGTTGTTCAATATGGCGGACCATCTCGCACATGCGCAGTACAGATCGGGCAGGTGGACCGATCGGGTAGTGACAAGCACAACCACGGCGGAATATTACTGCCAAAAGTCACGTGACTCACTCACGTGACTTTTGGCAGTAATATTCCGCCGTGAGAAGAAAAAGTTTTGTACTTGTAAAAAAAGTGTTGTAGTTGTAAAAACAAGTTTTGTACTTGTAAAAAGAAGTGTTGTAGTTGTAAAAAAAATGTGTGTACCTATGCTGAATTTGTCTCTGAAACATGATTTATTAGAAAAATGGTATGTGTTTATTTGATAGATACGTTTTTTCTTTGCAAAACTAAATGCATTAGTTTGTAGATGGTGTTTTGTATTTGCAAACCACATTGTGTTTGTTAGTGAATCATGTGGCATTTGTAAAACCTGTTTAGTTTGTTTGTGGAGTTATGGCAGGAAATTAGCTCCATAGCTGTTACTGGAATGGCTGTGACACACTAAATGGAACGGGACCATAATTCATTTATATCAATTTTAGCCGTATCTAAAGCTAAAGTGACATGTCAAAATATCTTCTGTGAAAAGGGGAAAACATTTTTGACTGATTCAAATAATACATTGTTAATATGAAATAGATATTTATTGTATATTTTTGTAGGTATTGGGTACCAGCATATTCCGTTGTTGTGGTTCACCAAGGTGCTTATTTTTGAATGTTTTTTAAATAGTTTTTTTATTTCTTTTTTTTAGCTAAAACTTCCATTTTATTGTGTGAACCTTTTTTGAAAAATGACAAATAATTTAACATTGTAACTGTATAAATGAATGTTATGTTCAAAAGCAAATTACGTTTTCACCATAGGACCTTAATCAACATTAACAGCGACGAAAGTGTTGGAGCTAATGTTAGCTTAACAGTTGTGGTTAGCAGTTTCCGGTTTGGTCTGAATCTGCTGATTTTCTTTGATAATGTACTGTTTAGCTTTAAAATTAGAACGTTTTTTGAAAGTGCTTAGTTTTGGCTTGACTGTTTTCAACATTGCAGCTGGCTCACAAACTACTCAGAACACAACAATATGTCAAACAAAAAGTATATTTTAGTTTACTTTTTAAATGTACAAAATTACTATACTTGAAATTGTGTGAAAGATTTGAAATTAAAACTAAAGTTGTACTTTATTTAGTGAAACTAAATAGTTTCGTAACTAATTGTCTTAACTCTAACTAAAGAAATAGAGGAAGTTATTACAGAATATGTCTTGTTTTTTATTTTTTTCATTGGTGATTAGAACAGGTGGCATTTTTTAGTCAGGTGGTAGTAGGCAGGGTCAACTGAGAACTGACACCACACTTTGGGGTGGGGGTTGGACTGACTCATTAGCCTGGCCTAGACAGTAGAGGTTTGCACTCATACAAGAAATACAGGCAACATCTACGCCAATGAAACACTTCGGTAGAGGAACTTGAGTTGCGGGCTTGCTGGCCATTTAGTTTTTCTTATGAGCCAGGATCAGCAGTGCACTGTAACAGGTGCTGCTGTTAATGCCAGTGGCGGCTGGCCAATAGAGGGCGATAGGGCGCCACCCTCCCTAAACCACACTCAAAAACATTATTATTAATAATAATAATAATACTAATAATAATAATAATAAATTATATAAATTGTCAATATTTGTGTGTTTAAATATGGAATGCACCCAGAAATACATGTAAAATATGATTTAAAAATAATTTGCGCAATATATATGACTTCCTACACCAGGGGTGTCCAAACTACAGCCCGGGGGCCAAATGCGGCCCACGGGCCATTTGGAATCGGCCCTCAGCAAATTCAAAAAGTATAATGAAATATGGCTCACAAATGAAACTTGTGTTTATCTTATATTGTACTTAAATATATATGAAAACATATATTACACAGTAGTATTCATGTCTTCATAAGCCCACTTTTCAAATAAATTCAATACATTCATGTTGAAAACATTTTCTAACAAATCTTAGTTGATGAAAAAAGCCCAATAACTTATTTACATTACAAGGTTGAAATACCCCCTTCCTATTTATAAGCAATCTGAGGCTTCTGTTTTAACGAATGAGCTGCCAACAAGATAAATGAAATCCTATAGAGAGCTGTGATGTATAGGCTGTTGTTTTTCTTAAAGCATATTCAAGTAACAAGCATAACTTATAACTTAACTTACATCCCGTCTAGTGAGTGGCCCAGCCCTTTGTATATTATTCTGTATGTGGCACTCAGTGAAAAAAGTTTGGACACCCCTGTCCTACACTGTATTACTGAAGTTCAGTTCTGGGGCGCTGGAGAAATCGCCCCACGGAGGCGGGTGTCTGTAGCAGGTTAGCCAATTGCTGATTAAAGATATGAACATATGTCATAAAATGTAGCCAATCAGCGTTCTCAAAACTAAAACGAGTAAGTAAGTAAGTAAGCAACTGCTACGCAGCTGGATGACGGCCACAGGATTGCGGTGAGGAAACACAATGAGGAGGTGAATAAACAGGCATATTTAATCCAAAATAATGACGTTTTGTGGGGCTTTTGAGTTGGCTTTGCGTGGGCATGACGAGACAGACTCTTCAGTCAACCCTGGCATTTTCAGGGGTTGGTGGATTTTGTTTCCTCCCTGGCCTGCACACTGTGCTGGAGGAGCACCTGAAGACCGCCACCGTTTTTAAAGGCACATCAAAGACGTACACCACATTGATTTTAAGAATGAGAATAATTATTATTTGTTACATCTTCAGCTTTTTGTATTACTGTAGATTATACCATTGTTCTGTAATATATATATATATATCATATATATATTTCCATACATATATATATACATATATGCATGCGGCTGGTGGAAGAAATTCCACCAGCCGCCACTGGTTAATGCTATAAAAGCACAAGATTCTGAGTTGTTCTGAGCTAAACTGTTACACGCAGATTCAATTCACACCTTATTAACACTGGGATCATCTTATGCATTCATGGGTTTCCATCATATGTAGGAATTTGGGTTAGGCTGAATACCTAACTTGCAGGTTCAGAACAAGATATAATGTACAACTCAGGCAACTCATATAGACCGCCCACCGGCTTTGACATAAACGTCACTAGCCTTTCCCATTTCTACTGTATTTAATGAGAGCGCATGGGAAACATTGAATGGGAGCAACAGGGCTGTTTATTATGTTAGTTGGAGGTGTGTTGGTGGTGTTGAGGGCTTCATTGATGGTCTGGTGTGTAGATTACACCAGCCAGGGGTGCTGTTTCAGTGAATCCAGGCTGAGTCGGCCTTCTGGGCTTTTATCCAGACAGCCCTGGAGGAAATCACGGCACTCTGTATACAGAAAAACAGGAATCATACTTTGATGCAAGACTATTAGTGTTTATCCAAGGTGGAACATTAATGTGTTCATCACATGAATGCACAAACAGCCTGTGATAATACTATACATATTGCAATAGGAGCTTTTTTCGAATTGGCGACTTAATGGCATTTTGGCCCTTAATTCAGCATCAACACTGGTAGTGCTTTTGACTTACCGTAAGAAAGACCCTTCCTAAGGTCAGGGATGACATTGATTATTTCATCACTAGTGTTGAAGGGGAGACAGGAATGGAGAATCACAAAGAGCACCACACCGATCTGCCAAACAGTTGTTGGTTCTGCCCTGTAGCTGCCACGCATGAACCACTCAGGGGTGGCGTATATATAGGTACCTACAATACACACAAATATGCAGAGACAAAATGAATGGTAAGGGACACAGTAAAGATGCTTTGTTGTTTCAGAGAAACAAGACCATAAGAAAGAGTACCTACCATTTTCACTATGGTAAGTTCCTTGTGAAACAAATGTCCCACAGCCAAAGTCTATGAGCCTCACACGAGGGACATCAGAGCCGGTCTCCATTAGAATGTTGTCCAGCTTGATGTCCCGGTGGAAAACGCCTTTTGAGTGAACCTCGATGACTGCATCCACCAGCTGTCTTGTTATAGTCTGAGGGAAATCAAAAGTCAAAATCAACTTTATTGTCAATCTTTCAGTTTGTGTGTACAGACAGAGAGATCGAAATGCCGAAATAGACAAACACATGGAGACTGTGTGACATCATGGTGGGCTTGGACACATACAGAAAGACAGAAACACAGCATCAGCTACTTACTTTAGCTTCATGCTCCTTTGGGGACAACTGCCTGGAGTTCAGGTAGTCTATCATATCCATGCAGGGGACTGGTCTCTCCAGGACCAGAATGAGTTCTAAGTCCATGTTATACCAGTCCAGCAGGGTGATAGCTGCACTGGACTCTCCTGCTGCTGGCCGGAGTTTAAGCAGCAGCACTACCTCCATCGGCACCATCAATATTTTCCCTTCCAGTTCCTTTTGATTTAAAAGGGGAAAAAAAGCAAATCATGTAACTTTCATGTACACATATACACAAATCTGCAGTTACAACAGTTAGTTACAATCGGAAGGTGTATAATGTGAAGACATATGCAATAAGAAATGTTACTCGATGAATTAAATTATGAACATACTGGTTTGTATTAAAACAAATAACTTACCACTGCTGTGTGCTTAATGCCGTGCTGGGAGATATGTTTTATGGCCACCTACGGGACAGAAACAGACATATGGTTAGCTTATACTGCATACAGAATGAATCTGAATTATGGATTCTGTTAGTGTGTGTGAGAGATCTTACAGGCAGATTGTCCTCTTTACGGTAGCCAGCATAGACTGAGCCGTAGCCTCCTGTACCAAGCAGATCTTCTTCTTGGTACTTTGCATGGAAGTCAGCTGCAGAAACAAAACACAAACACTTCGATGATACTTTGTTCAGGATGTGATTAAACTAATCCCTAAAACAAACCTGCATTGATTGAAATGTAATCATATTTACAATAAGCTGTCCAAATGTAACAGTTTCAAATATGCAGTGGGGTTTATTTGTAAATCATTTTGTATAATCACACAAATTCTGTGTTTTATATTAAGTAATTCTGTGTTCTTCATTTTATTGAATGTTCAATACCTGACAAGGTCGAAGATCAGAGGGCGGAACCTCTGAAGTGTGGTCGCTGTGCTCAGGAGATTATTGTTGTGAGGACTCCCCCCCCCCCCCCCCCCTATATATTGAAGGCTTCTCAATTCTCTAATTTTCCCTCCTCGTCTCCCCTCCTCGACTCCTATCCTCGTGTCTTAGTCCCGCCCACAGGAGATGCGAGCGGAGGAGTCGAGGAGGGGAGCCGAGGAGAGAGGAGGGGATGCAGCAGGCATTTAGAGAAATGAGAACTCCTCTCCTCTGAGCGGTCATTTTAAAGAGACATCCATTAATGATGACAGGAGGCACAGCAGCTGTCCGATGGACAGATGTGTTCATGACGACTTATATATTTACTTTGATTCATTGACAGTGCGGTATAATGAGACAATAACAGGCTACAGATGCAGACATATATACACACATATATTTATATATACAATTTCAGAATCAAACAAGTATGAGAGCACTCTCATAATAACGTAACACAATCAGAGACTGGATATACCCCCCCCCCCCTCTCTGGTCGCTGAAATGGGGAATTGAAATTACGGGCCAAAAGTTTTATTTACAAGTATTAAAAGTAAGCATAGTACACCAAACCAACTGAGACCTGTCTGGCTGCCACATCTACGCACTGTACAACACGCACCTACACACTGTACAACACACACCTACACGCTGTACAACATGCACCTACAGCTCCTAAAGCATATCATATATATCAGGATACAGCTGTTGTGTATTTTATTATGTGAAGCACTAAATGGTTTTAGAAAAATATCGACTTTGTTTGTAGATATCTACTAAACTAAAGCAAATAAAGAGAGTAGGCCTGTTATACTGAGTGATATATATTATACACACTGCTCTGCTTTCTGCACGGACCTCACAGCTGTTCTCACTGTAAACATCGCGTCGCGATGAAAGCAGTTAATAAAATAATATCCAGGGGATGCATGCAGAGCTGTCATTGGCTGAGATAAGTCCGGCCGTGCGTCACGACTCTTTGAAACATCTCTGTTGCCGGAAATACATCCGCGGAGGAGCCGTGGAGGACCGTGGAGGACCCATCAGTGCATCCTCGGTTATAGCTCCTCCAGAGAGCCTCCTCGATGCTCGATGCTCGGTCCTCAATGTGCATTTAGAAAAATGAGATGCCCTTCAACATGGCGCGCTGAAATCCATTTCCGGGTCACTACCGGAGGACCGAGGAGTCGAGGAGTCGAGGAGTCGAGGAGTCGAGGAGGGGAAATTAGAGAATTGAGAAGCCTTCATTGTGTCCCTCACGTTTCCTCTTCCCTTTTTGTAAATGTTCCACGTGAGAGGAGTCACTGTGAGGGAAACCTAATGTAAAACTGATCATTATATCTGTTGTCAGATTGTCACTCATAAAACGGAGATCGTCAAAACTGTATGCTGGCTCGGGTCAACCATGAACAACGCAAAACACAACGCAGAGACCGCTTAACGACACCGGTTACACAAACACAACAAAATCCACCTACCATTTCTCCCTACAGATATATACAAGAGTAAAGTAATCTGAATGTGCTGATGGAAAGCAGACTTCTTTGATATTGAGCCTTTAATTTACAGCCTTTACTGTATTATCTTACCAATGCTATCACGGCAGGCAGCGCTGACTGAGGAGGACGTATTGTCACTGGAGGAGGTCTTGCTGAGGGTCTTTCTGCTCCTCTTTGTGTATCTCTGTGACTCCTCAGAATTCCTCTTTCCCCTCTTCCTGTCTTTAGCATCAGAGGTGATGCTGATGCTGGCAGGTGTGGATGCACCAGCAACCTCAGTGGAGGAGGACGAGCCTCTGAAGGTCTGAGCCTGTTCCTCAGACGGAGGGGTCGGCTGCCTCTTTTTAGTGGACCTCCTCTTGCGCTTTTTCCTTTTCTTTTTGCCAACACTCACAGCTCCACCACTTTGTCCCGAGAGACTCTGGGTTTCTCCTGAAAAAAGCCAAGAAACATGAGCATGTTTGCGGTGTGAAGAGTTTATAATGAAAGGTGTGAACTGGTATCCAACTTAAATCAAACAAATGCATCTTCAAACCACTAATACTTCTGTTTTCAATAATTGATATACTTCATCAAGACAGTAAGTTCAGCAGAAGTCTGACTTTTGATAACTTTGCTCTCTTATCACTCAATTTGACATATGGCCACTGGGTTGAAGCAGAATAGGCTCTTACTGAGGTTTAACTGTATTTCTTCTTTTAGTTTCATCATAGTTTTTCTAAATATACTAAAATGTTTGTATAATTCCCATTTGATCTAACCTGTGCTGTGAGGTGTGCCAGTGTACTCTTGGGCACATGTTGCAACGGGGGCCCTTGATGAAGGCCCACTGGATCTGTGCCTGCGGCCCCTGGAGGGACTTGGACTTGCTCTGCTCCTCTCCTTGGTTATTTTAAGACCCTCCTCAGAGTCTCTGTTTGAGGCCTTGGTGGCGTCAGTGTTGCGCCATACTGGCACCAAAAGAGATCATTTTGATTACTGCATGTTCTGTGTGTAATCTACTTTATTATCTGCTGTTTGAGTGACTTCGGGAAAGGTAGGTTAGTTTGGATTTAGTCTAGTGGGTAGAAGGGGGTATCATGCACCCCCCTGAAATATACTTCTAATCAGCTTTTCTAGATTGGAAAAATGGTGTAGAAAACGATTAGCTATGTTAAAAAGTTGGCAAATTGTCCCACGTATATTTTTTTCCCAAATTAGTGTTTATTTACCCTAAAAATCGAGTTTCACTCTTTTTACAACTTTCACTATATCTCAGCCATTATTGCAGATAACTGAACAAATAAGGTATCCAGATCCATGTTTTGAGGGTCAAGGAACACAATAAAACTATTCTTAAAGTGATCACATGTGTCTGTGGCATGCTATTATGCTAATTAGTGCCGCCATTACAAGAAAATAGCATTTTAGTCTTGTACCAAGAACGGTGTATTTTGCACCGACACAGAAATATACTTATAATCAGTGTTTCCTAAGTGGAAAAAGTATGTAGAAAATGATGAGCTATGTTAAAATGTTGTCTGGATGTCCCACATGTATTTTTTTATGCAAATTAGTGTCACCATTACCAAAAACGGAATTTTCACATTTTTCACTCTATCTCAGCCAATATTGCAGATAAATGAACAAATAATGTGTCTAGACCCATGTTTTGATGGTCAAAGATCACAATAAAACTATTCCCAAAGTGATCACATGTATCTGTGGCATGCTAGTATACAGCGCTGGCAGTAGTGAAAATTCCCGCCTTTTTTTCCCGCCAAAAACAAACAAGTAGCTGACTTGGCTACACACACACATTCAACCTTCAAACAAACAAGGTAAGTAGCTAACTCAACTAGACTCATGTGTTTTGTATGTTTTATATAGGTTTCTAGCTTAATTGTTGTTAACACATCATTTTGCAGCCCAAAGTAGGCTACACACTAGAACATGTGTTAGTGTTATTCTGCCCTGCAGAGGCTAACTGCAGTAAAATATGGTAAACTATTAGCTAGCTAACGTTAGCTAACTAACTAACAGTGACGTGAATGAGGGATAGCTAATGGTGTAGCTTGTTGAATAAAGCTATTAGCTAGGTAGTGCTAGGTAGCTAGCTAGCTGTACAGCTAGCTAGGCTTAATGAACTCCTAAGCTAGCTAATGTTAATTAAAAAAAAAGGCAGTAATTGTAATGCAAAACTGCAGGGCAGTATTCTTAACCCGTTAAGCCCGATTGCCCCCGGTACCACAGCGTCCCAGGGCTTGTTACAATGTAACAACCTATTAACGTTGCATACCCACTTAACGGGAAGAAACTAAGCTAACAGATGATAATAACCATTTTAACCTAAACGAAACACAATTCCAACACCAAGCGTCTAAATCAGCACTTAACAAACGCTAACGCCACATTAGCACATGACTGGCGATTTTTCTACTTCATGCTATCTGCATAAATGACATATCATATGAAAGCTGAGATTCATCAGATTCCATTGGTATAAGTCTCATCACTGTACGACAAAACTCACTGAATTAGCAGCCAGGAAAGAGGGTTTCCATCATTAAGGGGTAGTTTTCACTATAAATAGTGAAATAGGTTATAGGTTATAGGTTTTTTTAGGCGGAGATTAGAATATTTTATTTTTACTATGTTTAATCTGAATTTATTCTGACACAGCAAGATCTATATTGATTCTGACACTTCTACAGCCAACTCACAGGTGTATCATTGCTTTGATAAAAAATATTATTCATATACCCCTTATAGTTGTGAAGATATAATCATTCATTCTGGGCATGTCATTTTTCGAGCCTGAGGCCTGGGCTTAACAGGTTAAACTGTGGAACATGATGGCTGCTCTCAGAACATCTGTTATAATTTTCAAAAGTTCTGATTGTATAACAGATTGTCTTTAGGCGCTTTCACACCGGATTAATTTTCCCACAATAGTTCCGATATAGTTCCGAAAAGTTGCGTTATAAAAAAAACTATATTGGGATGCTCACGCGCCGCAAAATGGGTGGTTCTGGATATGCAGAGATTCTGTTTGAGGCACAACTAGTGACAAGTGGATCCCTCAAGAAGAAGAAGAAGAAGACACACTTTATTAATCCCTTACAGGGAAATGTCTTTCCCCACTCTGTTGTGTTAACACACATTACACACACAGGGGAGGATATACATGCACAAACACAGAGGATATACATGCACACACATAACCACATGCAGATAGGAGAGGTGGCAGAGCAGAGAGGCTGCCAGGTACCCGGCGTCAAAGGTGTTTTAAGTGGAAAGGCATACGCAAAGTCCCTCTTTTGCCTCAAAACTGTGTGCGAATCAATGGAGAGGCTGTTGATGGAGCGGTTCATTGAGGAGGAAAGCGTCCTTATCACTGACCCTGCTGCACTTCTCAACATGACCCAGTCTTGCAATCGAGAGCACCTCGATGAAGCCCTCAAAGACCGCTCAACTCTAACCCTCATCGAGAAGTATCACGCCTATGAGGAGAAGGTGCTCAAGGGTCACCTGGGAAAGACAGCTGCCTTATGGATGTCATTTATTAACCACTGTCATTTTGTCTTCATGCTACTCCACTCCGTTAAGACCAACAACATCCAGTTGTTTCACAAATGCAATGGAGAGATGGCAAATATCTTCTTTGCATTTGATGGACACAACTACTCAAGGTTTGTGCTATTTACATGACAATTTACCAAATTTGCATTATGAGACAAGCTTTGAAAATAAATGTTTCTATGTGTAATCTGTGCCTTTCCTTATCTGCAGATATCTGACTTGGCCGGAGGTCTATCTGACAAACCTGGAGAACACACACCCAGGGGCCAAAGACCTGCTTTCTAAGGGTGCAATTGCGGTGGCCCGCTCAATGATACCGGGGGCACTTAGTGCAGTCGACAAGACCATGGAGGAAACGTTCATGCGCTTTGCCAAATCATCAGGTACATTATGATTTTTACCCAGACATTGAACAGATATACAGACATTGTATCAAGATTATTATATTATATAATACAATTGTATACTGCTCTCACAAAACCACATTTTATTTGATGATTTCTGAATTAAAATGCATGTAACTTATTGTGTGGGAGCAGTAGATCACATATTTGTTTCATACTTTTAAGGTGGCTTCACTGGAATATACAGCCAGTTTGGGGCATACCAGAGGTGGTGTCGAACAACCTCCACACGGGCACAGTTTTATCAAAAGACCCTTGAGATGGTGGACCTCATCAAAGACCCAGACTGCCCAAGGGCGGGGAAACATCGGGAGCTGGAGAAGGCAGAGGTCAAAAAGGGTGAGGAGGCCATTCAGCGAACCATCGTGACAATTAGGAACTTTAGGAACCTCTTCACCATCTCAGACAAGGACAGGCTCTACTCCCTGGCTTCTGGTGCTCCTGTCCTCATGGAGGTCGAGATGGACGTGCTACAAGCAGAAACTGTGGACAAGGCTGCTAAAGCTGAGTTCATCAAACGGCTACAGAGCAGAGAGCCAGCTAGCTTCTTTGACCCAATCAAAAAGAAGAAGCTCAAGACCATGGAAGCTTGTAACAAAAAGGTCACCCTCACATCCTCACAGGGAAAGGTAATGAGATGTTCCAATACCTGAGGTCTACTGTATTATTGAAATTCATTTAATAACCTTTATTTTTTATTGTTGTGACCCCATATTTGTTAATGATACACTATCAATATCATTCCAGGTCATCCAGTATCAGGAGCAAAGCAATCTTGCTTTCCTGCTCCTTGTCAAGTCACAACGTGCAGAGGACCCATTGGACTTGGAGGAACTCATGAAATATCCCCTAATGCCTGTGCCCCCTAGCCTTGGGACACCAGATGGGTTTTTCTCCAAGACTAATAAAGCGGCTCTTCTGCACTACATTCTGGAGGACACCACCCCAAAGGATCTGCCATACCCTAAGGATGCCCTGTTCATCCAGGATGGCATGGCTCTGCTCCATGTCCTCACCAACCTTCCCCCAACATGTGGGGAGATATGCCTACAAGTGCTTGATCAGATGGTGGCCAAAAAGCACTTTTTGTTCTCGACTGACAGTTACCATCCAGGATCTATCAAAGCACAGGAGAGGTTGAGACGTGGCAGTTCAGAGAAGATCATTTTGGCTGGACCAGCAACCAGGAAGCCATATGACTTCAAGATGTTTCTCACAAATGATGACAACAAAAAGCAACTCTGCCAGCTCCTGCTGCGAGTATGGAGTGATCAACAGGCAGCTTCAAGGCTGGAGAGAACAGAAATGGCAGTGCTGATCGTGGAAGGGAGAGCCCATCAACTTCTCTCCTCAAACGGCAAGGTAAATTGAAAGCCCATATTAAAAGTGATTGATGGTTAAATTATACTCTAAGTGATTATCTGTGATTTGTGTCTAGTCTCTGTCATTGTTGATCAAAGTGCAATATCCCATTGTGTATCAGGTTGAGGTACGTGAGCTCCCCACAATCTACAGCAACCAGGAAGAGACTGATACAAGGGTGGTACTCTACCTTCATCATGCTGCTGCCCTTGGGTACAAGAATGCTGTAGTCAGAACACCTGACACAGATATCTTTGTGATTCTTCTTTACCACGGTCATGCCATCAGGCTGACTATATACCTGGATACGGGGTCAGGGAAACATAGACAACTTCTCAACCTCTCTGAGCTCGCAGAATTCCCTGGGAGAAGACTACTGTGCCACACTTCTTGGATTCCATGTGTTCAGCGGAGAAGACTGCACCATGCCTTCAAAGGGAAGGGGAAGGTGGGGCCCTTGAAAAAGCTGGAGAAGAACCCAAAGTTTCACAGGGCGTTCAGTCAACTCGGTGACAACTGGAATGTCAAGCCTGAGGTGCTGAAGCAGTTGGAGCAATTCACCTGTCTGATATATGGAGAGAGTCGTGAGTCTTCAGTGGACGTAGTCCGTGCCAAGTTGCTGCGCAAAATGGTGGGGCAGGACGATAAACTCACTGCCAAGTCTAAGGTTGACCTGGCTCGCCTTCCTCCATGCTATGATGCTCTGAAGCCGCACGTCCAACGTGTGAACCATCGCGTCGCCCTGTACAAGCGAGCTGATGAATCAATTTTAGAAAAACCAAACCCCTATGATGAGGAGCAGGGATGGATGAGGACTGATGGAGTGTTGAGACCGGTGTGGTCCTGTGGTCCTGTCCTGCCAACCTCCCTGGTTGATCTCCTGGACACGACAGAGCGTGAACAGGAAGACGAGGAGGAAGAGGAAGAGGAATTTGACTCTGATGATAGCATTGAAAACGATGATTGAGTATTAATCAGATAGTGGAGAGCCAAACCTTGACTGCTTATCTGGAATGGGAAAGAGTAGTCACATCAATACTTATATTATGATGTTTGACCCTTGCTGTAGGCTAGTACAAAACAAATAAATATTGGTTAAATACACAACATCTGTCTCGACACCTTATTTGTTCACTTACTGTACTGCAATATTGGCGTCTCTTAATTTGCATAGCATGCCACAGATACATGTGATCACTTTGGGAATAGTTTTATTGTGATCTTTGACCATCAAAACATGGGTCTAGACACATTATTTGTTCATTTATCTGCAATATTTGCTGAGATAGAGTGAAAAGTGTGAAAATTCCGTTTTTGGTAATGGTGACACTAATTTGCATAAAAAATACATGTGGGACATCCAGACAACATTTTAACATAGCTCATCATTTTCTACATACTTTTTCCACTTAGGAAACACTGATTATAAGTATATTTCTGTGTCGGTGCAAAATACACCGTTCTTGGTACAAGACTAAAATGCTATTTTCTTGTAATGGCGGCACTAATTAGCATAATAGCATGCCACAGACACATGTGATCACTTTAAGAATAGTTTTATTGTGTTCCTTGACCCTCAAAACATGGATCTGGATACCTTATTTGTTCAGTTATCTGCAATAATGGCTGAGATATAGTGAAAGTTGTAAAAAGAGTGAAACTCGATTTTTAGGGTAAATAAACACTAATTTGGGAAAAAAATATACGTGGGACAATTTGCCAACTTTTTAACATAGCTAATCGTTTTCTACACCATTTTTCCAATCTAGAAAAGCTGATTAGAAGTATATTTCAGGGGGGTGCATGATACCCCCTTCTACCCACCCAACTAATTAGTCTACCAGCTAAATCATGTGGAGAGTGCGGTTTTAACCCGGATGTTGTCCTCACTACTCACCCTGTTGTCTCCTGGAAGACGGGCACTGAACAGTGGTTATTGTGGGCCAAGTTTTTGAATCCATGACTGAGCAGTTATCTTTCACCAATGAAATGACCATCTGAATCTGAATCTGACCAGTTGCATTCTCTTAGCCCGGAATGATCAGAACTCACTCCTGTGAACTGACACTCCGCTTCTGGGTTCCACTCATTCCATTCCATTCAATGTGCTTTATTTTCAAAAAGTTAAGAACTGATCAGATTCAAAAGGAAAGGAAATGTTAAATATGTTCATAAAATAAAATGAATTGCAGATATAGAATGAACACTCACTCTTTCTTCTATATTTTACTTGGTAAGAAGCATCTCTAAGTTTTGTTTTCAATTGTTTAACCTATCTCTACCTAACATAACTATTTCTGATCATCTATATGACTGTTAACTAATAATAATAATACTATTGTATTTTGTAAAATTATCACTATAAATTGATGATAATGATAATTGTTACTTATTGCTTCTGTTGTTATTGCTATTTATTTTTAATTGTTCTATCTTATTTTACTTT